GACAGAGTGGGGACACGCTGCCGTGATGTGACTGGAGGACCCGAAACACAGCAAGTGCTACGGCTTGACGAAGACCATGACCTCGGAGAGACTCGGCCCTCCTGCTCGCTTCCCCCCGACTGAGGCCCGAGCGCTGAGAGACCGTCTGACATTCACGGGAGGGCCCGTTCGTTATGGCACTGCTTTCTTCCCGCTCTGGAGCTCTATTCTACGTCCTAAAGCTCGGAATGGAATTAGATCGGGCGAGAACTCGAGAACTCGGAGGTATGATCTTCACACAGAAGGCCCGACTAAGAGGGAAAGAGCTCTGGAGAAACAGAGCCTGGAGGGAGAAACCGAGGGCTGGGGCAACCCTATTCCAGAACATTCCGTCGGTAGGAGAAAACGGCGAAAGAGGAAGGGGCGCGGAGAGGACGGGCAGAGTGGCTGTCTGCAGGTGATGCGTTGGCTCCAGGGGAAAAGCCCAGCCGGCCAGAGACAGACTACAGAGACTGTCTGAAAACAGTTTCACCAAGTGTGAGGTCTAATTCCTCTCCTGACCTTTAAATCTGCCATTTCAGTGGCCAGGCCAGGTCAAGGCCAAGGGAGAGACACAAGCGAGAAGGCGGGCTGGTGGGGGAGCCGATCTGTCACTCTTACCCAAACTGGTGGAGGACTCCAGGAAGCATTTCGGCCAGCTGGTCCATGGAGGGGTACATGTACCTTGGGAGAAGCCATACAGAGGCCATTAGCGCGAGCCAGACCCCAGGGGAAATGAATCACTCAAACAGGGACACGCCGGAAGGGCAGGGCCCGCGCACACCCTGGCCCCAGCACCCAGGCCCCCTGCCCGGCCCCCCGCAGCCCTCCTTCCCAGCAGTGAGCGACGTGCACCTGCCTGCACACCCCCTGCCCCGTGCAAGGCCACACCCCATCCCAATCCTCCCCGTTTTGTAAACTGACCCTTGATCGATTGCTTCCTTGCTCCGCACCAAGCATTTGAGGAGCATTAGAAGCCCATTTAATCCTTCACAATAACGGCTCTGTGAGTTTGCCATGATTTGCCCCAGCGCACAGATCAGAAACATCACTGAAGCTGGGGTTAAGTGACTTGGCTTCCCGGCCGGGCGGGCACTTGGCACGGCATCCCACGTGGGCTCTGGGGTTTCAAGACTCCTGTGCTCACCTCCCAAAAGGAGGCCTCCCGGCAGCTCGCCCGTAGGACATTCCGGGCCACGGGGAAGTCCTTCCCCTCTCGCCCGTGTCCCCCAGAGATGCTCCGCAAGGAGCTTGGAGAGACTGCAGAGAACTGGGCCACGCTGATGAGCTGGGCCCGGGGGGCTTTGGGAAATGGATAAGCCAGGGAGATTTTAAGGCACTGGGATGCTTCAATTCAATTCACACATCTTCTGGGCCCACAGCTCCTGTTAACAGAGGGCTGGGCAGCAGCAGAAGGCTCCCCTCTGTCAAAACTGGATCACGACCGCAGGGATGGAAAAGGCAGGAGTGGTGAGGACAGACCCACGCTGGAGACCACGGAGTCTGCAGGCTGTCCCGAGCCCGCGCATTAAGGCGGCGGTTTCCCATCGCGGAACGCAGGGAACAAGTCTCCTGCTGTTCTCCAAGTCCTCAGCAGGGCCCACGAGGGGTTTCTTGTTCCCACTGTGCCCACCTCTCCAGTGGGGATACCAGTTGTCAGACACCGGGACTATAAGGAGCCACTTCCCAGGCTGGTTCCTTCCTCTCGTCCAAGAACGACCCTGTCCCCCGGTGTCTCTGGAGGCATCTCTGGGCCCGCTCTCTTCCTGGCCTTCGCACCTGCTGTTCCCTCTGCTTCTTCCCAAGCCACCGTGCGCTCACCTCCCTGGAATCTCCAGAAAGGAGGCCGGAGACCTCTGCCTCACCAAGGGCCCACAACCTCAGCCAGAGTTCTTGCACATTCTCATTCCCTTTCTTGTCTTCCCCGGAAGAACTCGAAGAATCATCCCTTTCACCAAGGCCTCGGCTGCCGTCAGAGCAGGTGCACATGGCACCCTGTGTTAGGAGACCCCCGACTCCAGGTGGCGGGAAGAAGCCAGGGCCCGTTCAGGCCGAGTTCCCACCAGCCACGCACTGAAACCATCTGCTAGTGGGGGGCGGGGGGGGGGGGGGGGGGGAGGGACAAATAAATACACTGCAGCTTGGCCTCCAGGTCAGCTTCATGAAAATTCCAGGGGGTGAGGCCCCAATCTTAGAATAGTTTTTAAATCTCCCCGTGGAGAGCTAAGAGCCACCAGGTTACCTCAAGTCTTTCACACCACGGCTCCGAATAAAAATGGATCTCCTGACAGATCTCTGGTTCCATCTGTTACTTAACAGGTAACGGTATCCCACTGTATTAGAAAGCTTTTAATTTTGGGTCCTGGCCCCGTGTATGCCTACTCTGATAAAGGCTGATTATGAAGGATAATTCTGAACACCAATAAGGAAATCTATTTGCGAATGCCAGGAAGGTCCCTTCTGGGAGACTTGAAACCCAAGAACCTGCTCCCATCCTGGCTTAATGACAGCGTTGCACAGAGGTGCCCCCGAGACGTCTGCCTCCCACCGGTGACACTAACTGTCCTGTGCACCCGTCAGCTTGTCCGCTGGCTGCACGCTGGGGACAGCAGGCGGTGTAAACACCTCGGACAAGTGAACCTGACGTTCTAACGAGAACGCGATCCTTGGAGTCAGCAGACTCTGCGACTCCCCCAGTGAAACTAGCTGTGTGACCTTGAGCAATGTTTAGCCCTTCCACCCTTCGGTTTCTTCACCCAGGAACTGGAGTTATCAACACCAGCCACGTAGCCGTAAGGATTGAGTGCAAGTGACATGTGCGTATAAAAATCAAGCCCGGACCACAGGAAGGACTTCATCAATATAATCTCCTATCATCCCCTCTCTTTTTCTTCCAACCTTTCTAGAACTCTCTCCTAACTATTTTTGCTCGTCAAGGTCCTCTCCCACTCAGTCCTGCCCAGGTCATTCATGCCCACCTATTAACAAACTAGCTACCTGGGTGAGTGAAAGCGGAGGGGCGGGTGGTGGCGGGGAATGAGGGGTTAGTGTTTCAGAGGGACAGAGTTTCGGTTTGGGATGGTGACAAGGCCTGGAGAGGGACGGTGGGGACGACTGCCCATCAGTGCGAATGCCCGATGCGCTTAATGCAACTGAACTGCACACGCAAAAATGGTTAAAATGGTACGTTTTAGGTTTTATATATATATATTTTTTTCTTTTCTTTTCTCTTCTTTTCCTTTCTTTTCTTTTCTTTTTTTTTTTTTTTTCTGCAATAAAACAAATGGAAAACCCAGTCTAACGCCCGCCCCCCATCCACCTGCGCGGCCATCCTCTCCGCCTCCTGGGGCGCCAGGCTCCAGGTCTTACCCCACGGGGAAGGACGCAGCGCCGTCCTGCTGGCCAGGGGCATCCACGTGGCACACAGCAAAGTGCTGTGTGATCTCCTGCATGTCCTCGGAGTTGAAAAGGGGGTTGTAACACGTTTTGTCTGCAGAACAGGCAGGGGACAGAGACGAGGAAGAAGGAAGGAGAGACTACATTAGGGTGTTCAGCAGCACGTGAGGCGTTTTGCCGGTTTCACCCCCATTCATCGGGGGGGGGGGGATGAACACACAGGAAAGAAGCTCACCTCCTTCTCCCCCGCCCCCCCTACCCCCCGCCCCGTCCCTCTGGTGATGAAAGGCAAGTGGGCACGGAGGTGGAAATGGTCAATAAACTTTGCTGTATGTGCTGGCGGCTGAAGCTTAAGCCTCCAGCTGGTGCTGGGAGGAGACTCCCATCCCGGGTCCTGCTTCTCCCCTATCAGTTGTGGCTGTGATGTCCCCAGTGTGGGACCGGGCTGCCGCACTGCTATTCTCTTTCTGTCTGGGTCTCCTAAAGCCTCACGCTGGAAATAATGGCCAGGGCACACAATTCTCAAACAAGGAGGAGCTTACGAGATAAAGCACGGACAGCCTCACTCCTTACATGGCCTTGGAGGAGTCTCCCGACTGCTGAGGGCCTGAGGCAAAGATGGCCACCTGGTCACCAAACCATCCCCATTTTCTTTCTGGGCCACGCAGCAGGACTACATTTCCCAGCCTCCCTTGTAACAAGAGGCAGCCATGTGACCAGGTTCTGGCCAATAGCACACAGTGCTTGCTGTTTCTTGTTAACACCTGCTGCCCGGTCTGTAGGTTTCTCCCTCTGCCGTCACCTGCCAGATGCAGAAGCCGCTAAGACCCCAGGGGATGGCGGTGCCACAGCTGGTAGGAGCCTGGGTCCCGGAATCCCCATGCGAAAGATGCCCCACAGAATGCCCAGAGTTATTACATGAGTTAGGAATAGATGTATATCGCGTATAGCCACAGAGGTCTTAGGGTCTTTTGTTTCCCCAGTTGGCTTACTGATGACCGTGAACATCTCTAACGGGGGCGTAACACCACCACACTTGCACAGCTTCCAACACTCAGGTTTACAGAGATGCCTGGCCCTGAGGGCTGTAAACGCCTTCCGAATCACCGGCAGAAATATTCACTTCTATTCTGTGTGATTTTAACAGGCAGTAGATCTTGTGCCTTTAGCGTCCGTGAAAAATGGGGGACCCACATAGGCTGACACTTCCTGGGAATCTCAAGAATGCACTGTACACATTCATGGGAGCACTATCTGGAACAGCCAAAAAGGAAAAACCAGCCAAGTGTTCATCAGCTGAAGAATGGGTAAACAAAATATAGTGTATCTACTCAATGGAATATCATCCAGCCACAAAGAAGGAAGTGCTAACACATGCCACGACATGGATGAACTTGGAAAGAAGCCGGTCACAAAAGATCACATTCTGCAAGATTCCATATACAGAAAATGTCCAGAGTACACATATCCTTAGAAGCAGAAAGCGGACTAGGGCCTACCGGGGGCTGGGGAGTAAGGGAGATTGGGGCACGATAGATCAAGGGTACAGATTTTTCAGAGTGATAAAAATGTTCTTAAATGGGGTACGGTGATGGTTGCACAACTCGGTGAAAATACTAAAAACCACAGTACACGTTGCTCAATAGATGTCACCGTCACCCGCGGGCAGGGGAGAGCCCGGGTTCCCAGCACACCCAGGCGCACCGACAACTCTGTGTCCCATGGGGTGCATTCCAGACTCTTCCATTCTGTGGCAAGATCCCTTCCACCAACAGCTCCGGGAAGTGCCAGCAAAAGAGAAACATCTAGACTCCCTGCCACCAGCCCTTCCTAGCTGTCCTATTCGTCCACCCCCAGCGGGAACTGGCTCGTCAGAAACAGAGACTCCCGGAAACTTACGGTTCATGCCAATGTCGTGGTACGTGAGGATGACGGGCCGGTTTCCCTTGGGGGTCCCGCACAGCGTGACGTGAATGGAGCCATGCACAGTCTCGATGTCCTGCTCCTGAGGAAAGACAGCAGACAGAGGGGCCTGTGATGTGGCACTTGGAGCATCAGTGTGGCTGTGACTACTGACTGTAGGCGCCCCGCGTATTTCCAACTGTGTTTTGAGGAAGTTCCGAGTACGTTTCTCATTTGGTGAGGAGGGCCCTGGCCTTTGGGCAGCAGATTTCTCTCACCAGAGAAACCACTCCAAGAACCAGGGAGGGAAGGAGAACTCAGTCAGGAGGAAGAAGAGAGTCCTGGCTCAGACTGTGCCATTAACTGCACAGAACTTGGGGAAGGCACCAGCCCCAGCCCCAGCCCCAGCGGCCCTCTCTACCCAGGACCTTGGTTTCTCCATCTGGGAAACTGAGGTCATCAAAGCACGAGCTTCCTAGGTTACCTGCTCCCAAGTCTCACCCGTCCCACGGGGTCATTACAACGGTGACTAGCATTTGATGGCCTGGGGCTGCCCCAAATTCAATCCCTACTTCCAAGAACAGCCCCCAATTTCCTTTGGGAATCCACTCCAGTCTCACCGTGCATCCTAGTGGGTCTGTTGACAACGCTTGCCCATGTTTCACGGGCCAGGCTAATTCATGCATTCCCCCTCCCAGCTACAGGACCGGTTCACAGAAGGGCAGAAGAGCTGAGTCAGGACAACCAGAGCCAACCGCAGCTATTGGGGAAGTGGATTAGGCTTGACCCAGCAGTGTTGGGAGGCGGGGGGATCTGCAGCAGCCATGTTGTTCCCATGAGGCAAGGGCCTGTCTGAACACACAGCCAGCCCAGAGATGGAAAAGACACAAAGGAGGTCCTGCTGACGGCATCCACCATCTAGGATTTTCGGACCACAGGCCAACAACTTCCAAGCCCCCTTAAGGCATTTTGAGTTGACGACAAGAATCCTCAATGATGCCATAGCCATCTCTGTCCTGTCCTCCCTTCTTGGAGGGCCGGGGTCCCTCTTCCCTTGGTCAAGGCCGGTGCTCCAGCTTGTGTCCTCAAGCTGGCTCCCTCAGCCAGTCAGCCCCACGTTTCTCAGGACTATACTGTGAATTTTTTTTTTTTTTTTT